ATTAATGAAGAGGAGCACTGGGAGCTCGTTAAAAACAGTCCCTCAGGTCTGACAGGGCTGAGCAAGCTTCACTCCTCTGCAGTGCTTTGGGATGTGCCCAGCATCCTTATGGATTGGATCCCGCACTCCGCGGGGAAAAAGCGCTGCTTTAGGAGGAGAAACAGAGAATCCTGTTCTCCCGGCGCGTGCTCGGCTCGTGTTTTTGCTGAGTAACGGGAGGGAGGGAGGCGGAGGAGGCGGTGCCTGAGCGTTTCATTGAGAACTGGGTGCGCTTCATTCTTCCCGCAGACCTGATGCTGCCAGGAGTTGTGGTGCCACCTTCTGGCCTCCCTCAAGTGCAGCGGGGCACGCTCTGCGCTGTCACCCTCCTGGGAAACAGGTACAGAGGGTTCTCCCATCCAGAACTTGTCCAGAAACTAAAAATGAAGGGTTTTGAGGAAATCAAAGCAGCAGCGTTGTCGTGCATTTGATGCACTGGGAACCTAAGCAGTGGAAAATGCAACAGGAAAAAAAATATTTGTTTTCTGGGTTAGGATCTGTTTGAGCTGAGGTGGGAAGCTTTGTAAATTGGTTCTTTTGGACCAACGTTTTTAACAAAATATTGTATTCTGCACGATTGTCTTTGTGTCAGTGTGGAAATTGAGTGAGGGAGTGCTCAAGCCATTGGTTTTCTCTCACTGCTGGTCTCTTCTAGCAGTGCATGTGCTTCTAGCAATTTATTAAAAGCAAGAATGTGTCACTGCAGAACCTTCACTTCATCCAGGCTGCACTTATCCTCAGGTTTCTTTGGAAAACCTTATATATCAGAAGGATAACCAGAAAATACGTAGATGCTTGAAAAAACCCAATCTGTAAAGAACAAAGACACTGTAAACTAAATTCAGTCTCACACAGTCATACAACGTGTTTGTGTTGTCCTGCTCCAACATTCCCTTCTTTTCCCAGAGCTCCTGTGGCAGTTGGAGTTGCCACCATGTCCACGGAGGAGATGCTGGCAGCTGGAATGAAAGGAAAGGGCTTTGCTGTGCTGCACACTCACCTGGATCACCTCTGGTGGGTAACTGCCAGGCCTGGGGGAAAAAGTGCAACAGGTCTCACGTGCTTACTGAAATCCAAATCTGTGCCCCACTAAGAGGGATCTACCAGGCCAACTGACTGAATTATTTGGGTACAGCTTAGGTAGGACTTTTACTTTGAACTCACCTTCCTCCATAAATTCTAAATAAATTTTACAGTTCATTGATTGCAGAAAAAGACCTGTGCAGGTGCCAGTGCCTTTATTCAAGGGTGACATCTGTTCACTGTCCTGTGGTTCAAAACAGCAAAAGGAAAGCTGTGTTCTGCTTTTTCTTCCTTTTGTAGGGAATATGGTGACAAATCTTCTCCTCCTACCTTAGCTCCCTTGGTAACGGATTCTGCTGCAAAGGAGAGTGCTGGAGACGAGGAGGAGCTGCAGGAGAAGGAGCCTGGCAGCAGCTGCTCCCCTGAGCCAGAGCAGCACGTGGAAATCAGGGATTTGAGCCTGAAGGACAGAGACACTTGTGCAGAAGTGCTGGGGAAGGAGGAGCTCCATGAGAACAGAGCTGCAGAACCAGCTGAGGATGCCAGCACAAAGGACCAGCAAGAGGCTGAGGACAGCAGGACCCCACAAGGTATTTTTGGATCCCAATGAAACCAAACCTCGCCCTTTTGGTTTGCTGAAGCCCACAGACAACTCACTGCCTACCTGTCCTTTTCTCTCCCTGCAGAGCAAATGGATGCATTGTTTAATCAGTGCTTTTTCCATGCCTTAAAATGCAAAGTAAAGAAGTCAGAGCTCCCTCTGCTCACCAGCACGTTTCTAGGCAGCCACATGGTCTCCTGCTGGTATGTGGGAAGGAGATGGAATTGGGATTTGCATGCTGGGATTTGGTCTTTAAAACATGGAGACTGTGTGGGGTATTTAGGAAGAAGGTTTTGAGTGAAAAATAAAATCCAGTTCTTAGATAAGGTTATGCTCACATTTGCCATCAAGTACTTTGATCAAATACAGTCCTTATATTAAATAATTGGATGTAAGGATTGTACAGACCTGGAATTGTGCTTGGGAGCCAACTTGACTTGGCTGACATTGTTTTTACCATGGTTTAGTTACCTGAGTGGCTGCTTGCCTGCCCACAAGAACATCAGCACTAATTTCACTCATCACATTCTATTTATCACCTTCTTGGGAGTAATTCTTTCTCTGTGTGATTTGTATTCATGCTGTTAACAAACTTCTAGCATAAGTAGCAAGATTTAAGAAGAAGTGAAAGGTGACTTATAATTAAAGAACTTTTAAAAAATCCATTTATAGCCCTGCTGGAAAACAACTGGACATAAAGAAATCAAGCTATAAGAAGGTGAGATTTTTCTGTTGGCTTGGGTGGGTTTTTTTTAAATTAATTTTAATAAGAAACAGAAGAAGAGAAAAAGTTTAAAACACAGTAGCGGGAGTTTAAAATGCTTGACTCCACATTTCTGGTTGTTGCTTTCTTCAGTTTTCTAAATTCCTGCAATGCATGCAGCACCAGAGGGTCTTACAAGTGAAGGAGCTGAGCAAAGGTGTGGAGAGCATTGTGGACGTGGACTGGAAACACCCAGAGTATGTAGAGTATCAGTCTTTAAAGGAGTTGGGAGTCTGTGAAAAAAGGGAGTGGAATCTGCTGCTCCCAGCTCTATTTTTCCATCCCTTTTACTCACACCAAACAATTCTTGTGGCAGCATTAAAGCATTTGTAGTGCCTGAAGGATTTTCTTCAGCCTCTGCTGCCCAAGACAGCAAAAGTGAAGACAGAGAACAAGTGTACCACGCTCCTGAAATCATTCCACTCTATGGGGTCTCCACAAAAATGATCCCACTCTTTCAGGAATCTGGACACAGGTAAGCACAAAAAGTGAAGAGAGACCAACAAAACTACAGTTGGTGTTTCTCTTTTAGTGCCAGAACCCGACATCCAAATTGTTAAAATTGAGTTAAAAATTCTCTTTGTCTTCAGAAAAGGCAGCATCCTCTCAAGCAGTGAGGTGAGAAACATCATCATTAACTACGTGAAAAGTAACGAGTTGGTTGATGAAACAAACAAAAAGTGAGTACAGGTGAAGTTTTCCTGCCCTGCTTCCACGGGAGAGGCTGAAATTAGAGAAAAAAAAAGTGACCTGGTTTGCACCTTCTGTGTGCTTTTGTTTTGTAGCTTTGTAAAGGTGAATGCCATTCTGTGTGACTGCCTGTTGGATAAATCAGAACAGGATGAGATCTCACACCTTAAATGGGATGAACTCTTGAGCAGGTGATTGTTCTCTCAATATCCCTTCCCAGAACTGCACAGATTTATTGCCTGCAACTCAGACCCCGTGGTGGGAGCTGCCTGAGTTGTAATTTCCTGGAGATAAATGGGAACAAGATGAGATCTCACACCTTAAATGGGACAATCTTTTGAGCAGGTGCTTGTTCTCAATATCCCTTCCCAGAATGACACAGATATTGCATTGTCCAGGTGCCTTGAACGACTGCAGCCCTTACACCAGGTGACATTTTCTGGACAAGAACCCGTGGTGAGGAAAGGAAACATTGAGCCCATTGACATCAGCATAGCACAGAGATCATCAAACAAGAAGGTGAAAAAAGACAATTAAATGAGGAGGGTTGAGCAGATGAGATCCCAGATCCCGAGGGCAGCTTTGGCAATCATTATTAACCCTCAGCACTGATGGTTCCCATCCTCGTTAACCCCTCAGCACTGATGGTTCGCATCCCGGTTAACCCCTCAGCACTGATGGTTCCAATCCTCATTAACCCCTCAGCAGTGATGGTTCCAATCCTGGTTAACCCCTCAGCAGTGATGGTTCCCATCCCGGTTAACCCCTCAGCACTGATGGTTCCCATCCTTGTTAACCCCACAGCAGTGATGGTTCCCATCCTTGTTATCCCCACAGGTGACAATTATCAAGAACCTTGAGCTGTATGGTCTGGACCCACAGTGTGTGGCCAACACTCTCCAACAGAAGGTGCAAGCCAGTGCCACCATCAGCCCAGCACCAGGAGCAAAGGACAGAGTCCAGGTCCAGATCCAAGGCAACCAAATCCATCATCTGGCCAAGATGCTGCTCGGTAAGAAGAATCTGGAACTGGGCTGCTCGCAGCAAAACTTGAGTTTTTAATTCTTATTTAACTCTTCCTTACCTGAAGTGAGCTCTTGGTTGTGTTGCAGAAGAATATCAGCTACCTCGGAAATACATCCAAGGCCTGGAGAAGGCTCCAAAGCTTGGCCGCAAGAAGTAGGAGAAAAAAAATCTACCATGAGGATTGCTCAGCTCTCATTATTTATAGAAGTGTTTGCTGCTAGCAAATCAAGGATCATGTACAGGCCCTGCTCATACCAAAATGAGTCCTGGATGTTTACAAGGTCTGGAATTCACCCAAATAATAATACTGCTCCAGGTGTTAATTTTTCATAAAAATAAAAAGCTGAATCAAGCCCTTGGTATTATCCTTTTGTGATTTTTTTTTTCCTGATAATTGATACTGAAGCACTGGATGCTACAGTGGCTTTTGTAGTTTAACATTCTTGTTTTGCATCTTTGATCAAGGATGTGGAATAAACCTCCACTGAAATATGAGAAAATTATTCCAACAATGCTGGGACAGTCCAGTGTGTTCTGCCATTGAGTAAAACCCACTCTGGTATAGATTTTTACCCTTTTAAACATTTTCAAGTATTGAAATCAGACATTTCAGTGCTGAGAATTAACTGTAGTAGCTGGACTGCTGTAGTTTGTGTTATTTCTATATATAAAAATACATTTTAATGTATGACATGAGCTGTAATTTGTCTCATATAACAGTGCTGTAGGCCCCAATTAAATATTAATTATATCTTTAAATTTAAATTCACTTTTAGGAAGGATTCCTGTATTTCCCTTTAGACTTAATCCATTGAAGTTCCACAGGAGGGCACCAGTAAAAGAAGGTCAAGAGATTTCTTTAATTACTGACAGTTTTATTATCATTGTCTCTTACACTGTCTGCCTATGAACAAATAGTTCCAGAACCTTCAAAAAAAGCTGAGAGTGAGACATTTTGTAAAAATGCCATAGAATCACTAGGGAGTAGTAAAAATAAATTACAGCATTGCAAAAATGCATTTCACTTTGCCATAGAAGCTCTACTATTCCATCCTATACACATTATTTTACAGGTTTTACAGTAGCCATGGAAAATAAACTCACACGACCTAGGCGAGACAATTGCTAACCAAAGGCACTGCCAACAGGATTTTGCGCTTAAAGAAGAGGCAAATACTCCTAAAAACAGCTCGACTGACCCATGAGAACTGGAATTTCAGCACCCACCAACTCTTCAAATGCCCCTCATATTGAAAAAAAAACAAACCCAAAAGAGCGAGTCCTGCTGGTGGCAGGAGGTTTTCAGCAGCATCCACAGTGCTTGCATACGAAGCCATGCCTTCTACAAACTGTCAAAGACATGCTGAGGCCAGGAAGGGAGAGGGGACACTCACCAAAACTCACTGGAAAAATAAAAAAAAAAAAAAAGAAACCTGCACGACTTTTAGCCAGAAAGAAAAGGGATTTCAAGCCAAGCACGTGGCTCTTCCCTCTGAGAGCCACTGGCGGTTTTTACAGCGTTCTTCCCCATGGTGGAACTGAAGTATTTAAACGGTGCTGTCGAGGCTCAAAGCACCAGATCAACGGTATTTAAAGGACTCCACAAGTGAATAGTGAAGTGCTAAGCCTGCTTGTAGCTGGACAAACAGCCCCAGAGCGTGGCCAAGGCTGCTCTGTGGCTGCCAGCAGTTGTTAAAGGTCGTTGGGTGTAGAGTACAGTACAGCTGGAGGCTCTTCTGCACCAGAGCCCTGTGAGCAAACCCTCACTGCTGACCAGAACAGGAGCTGCAGCTGAGCTGGGCAGAAAGTGCCTTTCACACCAGCCGAGGGCTCCAAGCGATGCAGTTAACTCTCATAAGGTTTAGAAACAAACATACTCAAAATCTGGAAAAAAAAAACCCCAAAATCCCAAGCAGTCACCTTCCAGAAAGAAACAATCCAGTTCCTCATCCCTCCCCGCACACGAGGCCTTGTCACACCAGTGCTGCGGGGACAGGAGGGACCAGGGCTCTGCACAGCTTCCTCCTTAGCCCAAACAAAGTTTCCACACTTAAGGGAAAAAAAAGGCACTGAGGTAAATTTTAGACTCGTCCCCGTTCCCCAATAACAGCAGCCACAGTGAGCTCAGAGGGACAGCTGCTCACACACAGCCCATTCCCTGCTCCATCCCAACCCAGCGCTGCCATTCCCCGTCCCTGTGGTGGACAGAGGGAGGCTGGCCCTGGCTGTGTGCAGCGTGCTCGCTACCAAGCACTGAGGGTAAACACGGGGCCCATCCTCTCCCCTGGGATCCCTGGAGCATTCCCAACCCCATCCCAGCGGCGTGGAGCGAGGGCAGGGACCGAGCCTGCAGCTCCGGGACTTTGCTGAGGGATGCTCGGTGTGCTGGGAGCCCTGAGACAGGCAGAGAGAGACTTGCTGTCCTCTCCTGGCTCCACGGAGAGAGCAAATCCTGGGAAGCTTCCTGGATGTGCAGGACAGCACCAGTTGAGAGTGGGGAAGGGGGAACAGGGCACAGGGAGGGTGTGACAGGGACAGCAGGGCTGGGACAGCGCTGTGAGGAGCAGGAGGAGGCACAGGTGAGGTGAGCAGAAAGCACCCAAGGACAGTAATTCCTTTACTTGGTGCCACCTCCACACCCCAGCCCTGGATGGGGCTCCTCTCCCTCGGGGCCAGACACGTTCCCGGCTCAAAATCCAATTTGTGAAGGGGTTTTGAGCTTTCCTGGGTTCCTCCGATGGACACGTATTGCTAAACCTTCAACACTGAACCCTCAGTCTGTGCCCCAACCATCACCTTTACACTTTCCAAACAGAATTTCTGGAAACACAGGTCCCAGTTCCTACAGAGTAGAGAACTGGTGAAACACTGGCTAACTCAGGTAAGCATCAGGGACAGTTATGGTAATTCAGCTCTTTTCAAAATCAGAAGTCAAATAGAATCAAAAGGAACGATTTTCCTGGGAATTACTATTACCGAGTTGCAATAATATTTACTAACAGACTGTTGGGGTGTTGCAGCTGCCTTGGTGTCACAACCTGGCATTTCCCTGGCTGCCTTAGCCCTGAACAAGTCCAGGGCTTGGTTAAGCTGCAACACCCACGTGGTGCAACAACCTCCTCCCCTTTTCCTGCTGCTTCCAGTGCTCTCCTTACGAAACCAGAACTGGGCCACGAGGGCCACAGCCACCTCCAAACAGGAACCAGCAGCTCGCTGGGAGGAGCAGGAGCAGCAAGAGCTGCTCAAAACTTCAGCCAGCAGATGGGTTCTGTTGGGTGTCACACCGAGAATCTTCCACGCAGCCTCTCCAGCGGATGGCACGGCTGGAAATCCAACCAGCAGCTGTGTTTGCTTTGTTGAAGCTGTTTTAAAATCAGGCTTCCCGTTCTTGGCCAGGCTCTGGTCCTGGGAGAAGAGGTTTCAGAAGAAGAAAATGCAATAGGATCATTTTAGGGGTGCTGGGAGCCAGTCCTCACGGAAGGTTGAAGAGGGAGAATGATTACTAAGGTGTCCTGAGAAGTCTTTTCATTTAAAAACAGTCTCTAGCTTAGTCTGATGCCCAGTGCATCCTGAGGGTTATCCAGGTTTGCCTCTGGCTTCTTTCAGGGTCTGTTGAAGCCTCTGTTTGAACCTCTCGTACTTCCTGTGCACTTGCTGGATTTTGTCCTTCTCCTCTTTGTCCAGGATCATCAGGAAGTTCTGCAGCTCTGGGATGGAGAACGCGTCCCACTGCAAAACCAGCACAGAGGCAAAGTGAGCACACACCTGCTGGGCTTTGTGGGTTCTTACCTCTGAATCTGTGAGGAGGAGCAATAAAACACATTTAAATGTATCTGATCTCCAGGGATTTTAACCTTGGAGATGGGGTAAGGGATATCCCAGTCCTCCCACAGCAATGCAGGATGCAGCAGCTCCCAGCACTTCCCTTCACTGTGATGGGCAGCAAGATTTCAACCAAAAACTCTGAATTTATTACCTGAGTGTCCCTGGCTTTTACTTAAATTAGTGGATTACTTCTAACAGTGCTCAGCTAATCTAATTTGTGAGGATTAACCCTAGGGTGGCACTGCTGGGTTCCATAAACAGATTATTTGCCATCAAAACTGGCCTCAGCATTTCCACAGCTCAAGTTTGAATCGTGTTAAATCATCAATCACCTAAATCAGATCATTTAGGAGCAATAAAAGACCAACCCAGCCCCTCTTAGAGGAGAACATCCCTTTTTGTGCTGCCTCTGCCACTCATCTCCCAGCTCGCGCTCCACATTCGTGTGAAAAACAAGGAAAAGTCACCAAAGTACCTCGACTTCCCCCGTTTCGTTTTCCTTCAGCACAAAGCTCAGCACATCCGTGTCAGGGCCCGCCAGCAGCCGCAGGTACAGGGGGTACTCGGTGAGAGGAAGCTTCTGGAAGAGCACTGCAAGGACAGCACACACCCCCAGTGAGACCAGGGCTGCCAGGGCACAGGGAAGCTCAGGAGCTCAGCTGGAGCATGGAAAAGGATGCTCAGGATCACAGGGCTGAGTCTCTCTCACGGATTCATAGGGATCCCTGTAAGGTCTCAGGTGGTTTCAGCCCTTTCTGAAAATTGAATTCCCTGTTAGCCTAAGCAGAGTCACCTCCTGTGGAGGTCTGGCTGTTGATTCACCTGGATTTAGGCTTTGCCTGCCTGACACCCCAGCGAGTCCTACAGGGCACCAAACACAAGCCAAACTCACCACCCCGAACTCACCTTGCCCATCTTTCCTCATCTCCTTGAAAAGTGCAAACTTCTGGGGGTTATCCACCACCATGAACTTCTTCAGCAGCCCCTGGATCACCTCGCTCACCGTGGTGGTGCTGCTGATGTGCAGCTGCTTGATGGCATCCAGGGGCAGGTAGAAGGAGGTCCTCTTGTCCGTCATCTCCGCCAGGTTCACCTCCTTGAGGGCATCGTAGATGGACTGGGGCCGGATCCCGGCCGGCACCGTCACGGGGCGCCGCAGCTTCAGGTGCACCTTGATGAACCCCGTGTATGTCCCATCCTCGTTCTGGGGCAAAGCACAGAGGGATCAGGCTCCAGGCAGCTTTTCCAGCCCTTTTCCCACCACAAGAGGCTGGTCTGCAGCGTGGGGTGACAGCAGGAGCTGCTCCCGCTCTGGGAGTTCCAGCATTTCTCATTAATCGTGTCAAAAATACCCAGTAATTTCGGGACAGTCACTACTGATTTTCTCTTGGTAATGACTCATCCCTTCCTCTCGTCTGTGGGATTTTGTTTTATTTCAAACCAGCCCTGCTATGAGGCAGTTATGGAAATTCCATTGCATGGAATTTGTAGTTGTGCTTAATATGGATTTGAAATGCCTGGTTCCGCAGGACCTCCCAAACTTATTCCTTGTGCTTTATTCCCCATTTAAGGGATTCCCACATCTTCATGGAACAAATCATCCCTGGACATCGGCTGACCCCACCACAGGTCTCCTCCCCCACCCTCAGCTCCACAAAAATGCAGGAATCAGGAGAAAAGGCTGGTTCTGCACAGTCCACACAGGAAGCCTGGCAGTGGTGAGGGCAGAGCATCTCTCTCTAGGAAGGTTTTGTGTTCCTAAACCCACTGCCAACAGCTCCTGACCTGCAGGGTCACAGCCCCGGATCCAGCGTGACTCATCCCCACTGGGGCCAGATTTCAGGGCAACTCCTCCCCAGAAATCAGGGATGGAGGCAGGGAAGGGTCACCTGGAGTGTCGGTGACACTGGAAAGCCAAGCAGGAGGAAAAGCAGTTTGACACTCCAGTGACACCTTCCCCACAGGCTGGCCCCGTTCAGAGCCCTCAGAAACCAGCACCAGACTGTGTGTGAGAGGGAAAACCAGCCCAGTACGTACCAGTTTCATCAGCAGGCAGTTGGTGACCTTTGCATTGTACTTCTCAATCTTCTGTTTGATCTCCTGGACAGTCGGAGGCTCGGGTTTTTCTTCTTCTACCGTTTGTGTCACATTCTGCAATCAGAAGAGCAGAATGCAGCTTTAGCTGCTTGGTGAGTTGGGTAACACTCCATCTGCTCAGCTCCACGTTTTCCTGGGAAAGCAGGAACGGATCCTGCACAGATCCTGAGCAGTGATGCCACATCCCAACCCCAAAGCACCTCTGACACCAGTGGCAGGCAGGGGAGGGCAGCACAAAACACACCAGCTGGTGGCACAGAGCAGTAGAATATCCCAGTACAAACCAGGGCAAAAAATCCAGTCTTTAAAACCCACTTTCAAAGCAAAGCCACCTGCACCTGTGATCATTTATTTCCTTCTTGAACTCAAGAAAAAAAATCCCATCCTATTTCCAGTCTCTTCCCAGTATTCACGGCTCTGACTCCCAAGCAGCTTCCAGTGGGTTCACCCAGGCAGAACATGGAGTTAAATCTCTCACTGCTCTTGTCCAAAGCTTGGGAAATTCTAGCTCAGAGCAATAAAAGCACACGAGCAGCAGGCTGGCTGTGTGACTGATTATAAATCAGGCACTGCAGGGCCAGTCCAGGCGTCCCAGCCCCTGTCAAAAACTGCTCAGTGTCTGCCTGGGCGCACCCAGAGTGGGACAGAGGCTGCTGCTCGCCCAGGTTTGGGGGAATTTGGGGGAATTTGGGGGAATTTGGGGGAATTTGGGGGAATTTGGGGGAATTTGGGGGAATTTGGGGGAATTTCCTCTGAAACCAACAGATCTGACATGTAGGTGGGCTCTACCTGAAGGCCACCCATGGAAATGTCACTAATGAATGATCACAGAATTATTAAGGTTGGAATTTAAGGAGATCCAGTCCAGCTGTCAACACAGCACCATTAAACCATGTCCCCAAGAGTCACACCCATGGCCTTTTGAACACTTCCAGGCATGGTGATCCCTCCACTTCCCTGGGCAGCCTGACCATCCTTTTATGAGGAAATTTTCACTCTCCTGGCTCCCCTCCAGCCAGGAGGGCAGGTCTCTACAGCACTGCCTGCTTTATCTGCTCCATCTGCAGCAAACAAGGCTCTGTGTGTCTTGGGCAATGCTCAGAGCTCTGCTGCCTCCCCAGAACTCACCACCTTCCCTGGTGACAGCCTGGGAATGCATTCTGCCCAGATTTTATGTGGGCTTGCTCAGAAGTTGGCATTAGCAGGGAGCAGAAAGCGTGAAGGGACGTGCCATCAAGGCTGGGAAGGCTCAGAATGAAAACTGTAACCTCTGAGAAGGAAGGAAAAAAGGGAAAAATAGGCAGCTCAGGGAGCAAAGCTCATCTCCTCTCTGACAGCCCCAGAGCACACAGGACAAGGACGAAGCAAGCTGCAAATAAGCCAATACTGCCCGAGGCTGCTCATGGTATTTCTTTCAGGAGGAGAATCAAGCAGAGGACGAACTGAAAGCCTGGCTGCAATCTGGCAAGGCAGCTGCAATGCTGGGACCAGGGAGCCCTGGATTCATTGAGGCCATTCCCCAGGGGCAGCTTCACCATTCCCCAATTCCTGCCCCACAGCAGCAAACAGCTCCAGACCTCTCAGACACCCAGGGGACAACGGTGACACAGGGGGTGCAGCCACCCCAGGCACTCCAAGAGAGGGACCGGGGCTTTAAACAAGGAGTTTAAACAAGCATGGAGTGACAGGACAAGGGGTGATGGCTTTGAACTAAAAAAGAGGAGATTGACATGAGATATTGGGGAGAAATCCTTCCCTGGGAGCGTGGGGAGCGTGGGGAGGCCCTGGCACAGCGTGCACAGAGCAGCTGTGGCTGCCCCACCCCTGCAATTGTCCAAGGCCAGGTTGGAGCAGCCTGGGACAGTAGAAGGTGTCCCTGCCCATGGCAGGGGTGGGACTGGATGAACTTTAAGGTCCTTTCCAACCCAGAGCATTCTGTGACAATAAAAGCAAAGCTTTCCTGGGTTATTTGAGAACAGCACATAAATCTCCCTTTATCAGAACTCCCCAATCTGTCAGAGTCCTTGGGCTCTTGCTGCACCAAGTCCTGGCCACACACAGGTGCTGGGCTGGCTGGGGAGTCTTTAAAAATCATCTTTAGAAATCATGCCAAGGGTTGAGATTTCGAAAGGAGCATGATGGAAAATGAAAAAAAAAAAAAAAGAAAAACAACAAAACAAACCCCACCCCTTCCCTATAAGTTAACAGAAGATGAACTGTCAGAAAGCCTGCACTTCCTCATGTCACACATGTCACAGCACCGAGACAGGCACAGCTGTGCTGGCCCTCACCAGGGCTGGCCCCCACCCCAACCACGCAGTGAGGGAGGGCAGGGGACCCCCAGGACTCTCCCCTCCTGCACACACAGAGTTGTGAGGGCACCCCAGCATTATCCATGGCACAAACACAGCCCAGCAGAGAGAGCATCCATCCATCCCTCCATCATCCATCCATGGATTCCATCCATCCATCATCCATCATCCATCCATCCATCCGTCATCCATCCATCATCCATCCATCCCTCCATCATCCATCCATGGATTCCATCCATCCATCATCCATCATCCATCCATCCATCCGTCATCCATCCATCATCCATCCATCCCTCCATCATCCATCCATGGATTCCATCCATCCATCATCCATCATCCATCCATCCATCCGTCATCCATCCATCATCCATCCATCCCTCCATCATCCATCCATGGATTCCATCCATCCATCATCCATCATCCATCCATCCATCCGTCATCCATCCATCATCCATCCATCCCTCCATCATCCATCCATGGATTCCATCCATCCATCATCCATCATCCATCCATCCATCCGTCATCCATCCATCATCCATCCATCCCTCCATCATCCATCCATGGATTCCATCCATCCATCATCCATCATCCATCCATCCATCCGTCATCCATCCATCATCCATCCATCCCTCCATCATCCATCCATGGATTCCATCCATCCATCATCCATCATCCATCCATCCATCCGTCATCCATCCATCATCCATCCATCCCTCCATCATCCATCCATGGATTCCATCCATCCATCATCCATCATCCATCCATCCATCCGTCATCCATCCATCATCCATCCATCCCTCCATCATCCATCCATGGATTCCATCCATCCATCATCCATCATCCATCCATCCATCCGTCATCCATCCATCATCCATCCATCCCTCCATCATCCATCCATGGATTCCATCCATCCATCATCCATCATCCATCCATCCATCCGTCATCCATCCATCATCCATCCATCCCTCCATCATCCATCCATGGATTCCATCCATCCATCATCCATCATCCATCCATCCATCATCCCTCCATCCCTCCACGCACAGCAGAAGCAAAGCCAGCAGCTCTGCTGTCGCTGTCCCTGCAGTTTGCTGCTCCCCAGCAGGGCAGCTCCCTCCCCTGGTGTGATGTTCCCAGCTCGTGCCAGCAGTGAAGAGCCTTGGAGCAGCTCGGTTTCCATGGAGGGACGGGGCCCAGCAGAGCAGCAGGATCCTGCAGATGAGATTTGGCTTCCGAGAAACCCAAACCGCTCACAGCAGGAGGGGCCTGGCTCAGGAGCACGGCACCGGTGTCACACGATGTCACCCTCTGTCACAAACCACCACCGGCTGTGGCGTCCTGCCTTCCCCACACCAGCCTGCTCAGCCCCCTGCCAGCTCCCCTTCCTCCTACACCCTCCCCCTCCAGGGAAACAAAGTTTTGATAATTTATTTCATGCATCCATCCCACCACGGGCACGGTGACAGGATAGTGTGCAGATGAAATCTGGGGCACACAGTGAAGTCATGGGAGGAAAATGAAGGCAAACTCCAGCCAGCTGTCCCAGAGGATCCAGAGTGGAGCCACCCCAGCTCCAGGAGCTGTGCAGGGATGGGATCTGCAGATCCAAGGGCTCAACCCTTCACCTCTTCTTGCCTCTCAAGTGATGCTCAGGCCAGGCAACACCAGAAGCCCCCCAAGCAGGGACCACCTGTCCATCCCAATCCTTCACACCTAAATATTCTGCTTTTCTGCTTCCAGACCCAAACCAGCCCAGCAGCACCAGCCCTGTGATGCAGGAGCCCTGGGAAGGGCAGCCACAGCCTGGGAAGAAAAGTGCTGCTCCTCCTGCAGTGCATGACGAGATCAACCACTTCTTGCTCCTCAGAAATCAACCCCAACCTCCGGTTGTGCAAAGATTCTGGTGCAGAATCTGCACTTCTGGCTAAAGGAAGAAAAACAGAAGCTTTTAACCATAAACTGTTGCCACATTTCCTGTTGTACAGGGACAGGATGAAATGAGCTGGTAACAAAACCCCATCTCTGATCTGCACCTCAACCCTGCTGGGCCTGCAGCTTTCCTGCGTGGAAAACAGGGATCAGCCAGCTCAGCCATCCTTGGCAATCACTTGGCCACTGGCCTCAGCACAGGACATCGGTGTGGCAGCCCAAACAGGCACAGGATATTGGTGTGGCAGCCTAAACAGGCACAGGACATTGGTGTGGCAGCCCAAAAGGGCACAAGATATTGGTGTGTCAGACCAAACAGGCACAGGACATCGGTGTGGCATCCCAAACAGACACAGGACATTGGTGTGGCAGCCCAAACAGGCACAGGACATTGGTGTGGCAGCCCAAACAGGCACAGGACATTGGTGTGGCAGCCCAAACAGGCACATTCCCAGTACCACCCTCCTGTGTGACCAGCAGGAAAACCACAGGAAGCCTGGAGCTGCCAGGAGGGCTCCTCCACGCCTGCTCCATGGAAAACCTCCATGGAAAACCTGCTCCATGGAAAACCTGCTCCACAACACGGCACAGCCAGGAGCTGGAGGCACTGGCAGCTCGCTGGCATCGCCCAGCCTCAGCAGGTGAAGGCTCTGCCAGCCCTGTGACACTGCTGGGACACTGCTGTGACACTGCTGGGACACACAGGCTGCCAGGACAGGCTGGACACGGGGATCTGGGACATCCACAGCAGCACAGGAGCCGCCTCTGCCCTCCCTCCACGACACACATTATTGCTCAGCTGTAAGAAATGCCGGCTGTAAGGAATGATGGAGCCTCAGCTGGCACTTGGGTTAATGTTCCAAGGGACAAAGGCTGCTTGGGACGAGCTCTGGGAAGGGGCAGGAGCGTGGCACACAAATCCCGTGGCCCGGGGCTGGGCAGGGCTCAGCAGCCCCTCTGTGCGAGCCAGCACTCAGCTAATGAGCTGGAAATTCCTGCCAGGCTGTTATGGACAACCCAGGGGCCACCGAGATGGTGGTGACAGCTCTCAAAGGAGTCCTAACCCGAGAGAGGCAATAAGGAAACCGCCTGTGACGGATATTTCCATTTACAAGGATGCCAGGAGAAACACACCCCACATTCAAAGAGCACCCTCCCTACAGCCTCTCACCTTCTCAAGTCAACTCCCAGCTTAAAAACCTTTTAAAAGCTCCCAAGGCAGCAGCTCTGTTTTGGGAATAACAGCTCCAGGTGGGACCCAGGAGCTGTCCCAGCCCCAGGGACACCATCCCTGCCCCTCGCTCCTTAATGAACCTGAAGAGCAGAGCACTGGGGGTGGATCTGGCCCAGCATCACCATGTCCTTGGCAGTCTGAGCTCAGGGCAGGAGTGGCCAAGTCCTCCCTGGTGTGCTCAGGCACGGTTCCATCACCATCTCCATCAGCCGGGCTGTGACAATCCACATTCCCAAACCCACGGCCCAAGCTCTCCCTTTGGCTCCTTGTTCAGACTGCAGGAGCAGTTCAGAGATCTCCTCTGAAAGGATTTTATGAGCTGGGACATCAATCCTCAACTTTTCTGCTTATTAAGGAAATATTTTTCATAAAACACCAGAAAACAAAGCCTGGAGAAGCACATGTGAGTGTCCCTGGCTGTGGAGCTGCAGTTCAGAGCAGCATTGCCTGTGACCACAAACACAGCACAAAGGACTGGAAATAAACGTGAATGCTTCAGATTGGAGTCCAAAACGTGAGAAGCAGCAGCTCAGATCTGTAAATCCAGCTGCAGCAGGGAGTGGTGGCAGCTTGGGGACACTGGGGGGACAGGGCTGTCACCAGAGCTGGCACATCTCTGCTCTCACAGAGCTCTCCATCCCTGCACAACACCCAACACTTCCCCTTCAACACCCACTCCCAGGGTTCACAGCACTAAATTGGGAAAGGATCCACTGCTCCAGCACGGATTGGCAGGAGGGAGAATCATACAAGAGATCTGGACCAAAAAAAACCCAAAAAAACTTTTAATACCCCCAACATTTCCCTCCCTTTGAGAAACTCAGATGAGGTGCTGTGGTTTACTTTGGGGTTCAGAGGAAAAGGCAGCAGACAGGAGAGTTGTGCTGCTCTAGAGCAGGGGAGAGGGATGGCTGCTGCATTTCAGAGAGGTTAGAGCAAGTGAAGATGGGCTCAGTGTTTTGATTGCCATGGAGATTTCACTTAGAAACCGATTTTCCTGCCACATCTCAGCTCAGCACTGAGAGCTGACAAGGTCCTCCCAGGGAGCTGCATCTCAGGGGGGTCCAGGCTGGAGCTGCTCTGCATTGCAGCAGCCTGGCCGTGCCCCTGCTGCCCAGGCAGCCCCAGCTGGCTCCCCACAGCCCTGCCCTGAGCCCCAGCCAGCTCTGGGATCATGGGGCAAGGCTGGGTGGGATCCTGGAGATCTCTTCTTCCAGCCCTTGCTTGGGTCCTGCCCCTCCTGTATGTCCCATCCCTGGACATTCCCTCGCCCCTTCCCTCTCTGAGCCAGCTCTCTTCTCTCATCAGCCACTGATGCAGGACTCCAAAAGCAATTTTGCAGAGTTTTGAGCAATCAGGCTTCAGAAGCCACTGAAGCCATTCAGCTGGAGAGGCCCGAAAATGCAAAGTAATGGATCTCCAAGGATGAGGTCACATCTGAGATCTAAACCAGCTCTTTGCTAATGAAGAGTGATTTCACTGATGGTTCTGAAAATAAAAAGGGATTACAGCATTCCTAGAAAGAGGCTCTTCAGACTAATTCAGTTGTTTCAATCAGAAAAATTGTTTCTGTAGTCCTCCAGATGAAATCCCACTCGGTTTAAGTGCCATGCAGTGGCCTGTGTGTCCCCTCCCACCCACCCACATCTCATTTCCTCCCCAGAGATGTTTCCTGTCTTTTCCAGGATATGTATCCCTAAGTTATCCATATTTAGCTTCCTCCTGCCCAGAGCAGGTCCTGCCACACTGCCAGCCCTGTCCTGGGCTCAGGAATCACTCCTGGCCATCCTGGGATGGACAATCATCAGCTTAACTCGCTCTGGGCTCTCCTCAGCTGATGTTTTCACCCCGTGGTCAGGAGCAGCTGGTGAAAAACAGAGCTGTTGTCACACACAGCTCTTGCAGGGATGGAGATGCTCCACATTCAATAATTATCACTTAAATAAGGTGCCAAGTGAAAAAGAGAGGACAGGGAGTGAATCAAAACCCAAGAGAGGTGTCCACCACCTCCTCAGTGTCCACCACCTCCTCTTCCTCCTGCAGGATCTGCACCACCACCAACCCCAAACAAGCCATGAATCCCCCCAAAACCTTCCTCCACCAAGGCCTGAGCGTGGTTTCCACCTCTGTGAGAGCCCAGCTCCTCACACAGCCCCATTACACAACACCAGTTGGGTTCAGCACCACTTTCAGTGCGTGTGGGGTTTTTTTCTTCATGCACAGGAACCATTTCCTCCCCACAACACCAAACCCCCGACAGGCTCCATCTTCTCTGGCAGCCTGAGCTCTGCCACCCACGCTGGTCACATCCAGGTGAGGAGGAGCTGGGCAAAAAGGGGCTGCAGCAGCCCCTGTCCCCTCTGAGAGGGAGAAATCCCAAACAACAGCAGCACCAGGCTGATTTCCAGAGGTCCCCCAGGATCTGCAGTGCCCTGGCTCAAACACAGCAGCTCTGGCTGCACCAGCACCCCGATCTCCTCCATCTCCTACACAAATGAATCATCAAATGACATTTAAAAACCAGCAGTATGTGTTGGTTAATCATAGCGAGAGAGAGCTGCTGGCTAGCAGGGAATAGCCCATCTTAAACCATTTCCGCAGAGAAATTCAATAAAATTCCCGGCTGATTGAAATTGTGCCCTCCAGAGCAGCCCCCCCTGCCCAAGGAGAGCCCTTGGAGCTGCTGCAGGAAGCTGAACCCCAAAGCACCTGCTGAGGATTGCAGCTCTGCAGCCTCAGGTGCAAATACAGCAGAGGCTGAACAGGAGCACGTCGGTGCTGGTGGTTTACAGGAGGATTTTAAGTGAAAAAGCTGGGCCAGATTTGATCTCTGGGTGCTGCAGGGCTCTCGTTCCCGTGTGAAACTCCCACTTCTGCAGCAGTGCCTTCTCCTTTTATGCTCAGCTCTGGTTGGGGCCCCAAAGTTCATGACAGGGATTTTTAATTAATTAGTTTTTTAAAATCAGACATTTAAAAACTGTGAAGCAGCCTCGTCGATGCTGCCGAGACACAAATCTCATCCTGGGTGAAACACTGCCCAGCCAAACCCTCTGTCCTTCTCCAAGGCACGTTCATCATCGCGTTCATCAGTCCACAGATTAATTCTGCCCTGAACTTTCCCATCCACCCCACAGGTGCAATTTTTCACCCGGGGTGGAGATTCTGCCAGGCACAGACCGCAGGTCCCCGCCGGGGAGCCCGACCCGCGGCTGGAGGATTTCACCTAATGCTGGAAAAACACATCGAGAGCCGGCTCCTCCTGCGTGAATCCCCGGGGAACGGGGAAAGCCGGCCTGGGAAAGGCTGAGAAAAACCCGCAGCGGTGCAGACCCCGCACAGGAGAGGGCAGAACCCCCTCCCCACCCTCAGCTCGGTTTTGGCAGCGCCGGCATCCCCCGGCCTGAGCACGAGTTGCGTTACCTTGGCAGGGACCTTGCTCTGCGCGCTGCGGAAGAAGGAGGTTTTGGCCGTGAAAAAGCAGTCCTCGAGGTCTTCATCCAAGCTGCAGTAGCCGCTGCTCATGCTGCTGCCGATGGTCATGGGAGCCGGGCAGAGGCGAGGGGCTGCGGGCGAGCCGGGGGGCTCGGGGGGCCGGCGAGCATCGGCGAGCCCCGCGCTCACATCCCCGGCTCGCCGCTTATCTGCACCAGCTCCTGCCGCTCATCCTGCCGAGCTGCTCCTGCCGAACAGGCAGCAGTGCCGGGTAACCCTTCCCTTGCCTTCCCTCGCCTCCCGCAGCCGCCTCCCTGCGCAGCATGGAAGGGGCAGAGCTCCCAGTTCGCTCCCAGTTCGCTCCCGCTCCGCTCGCCGCTCCCGGGGGTGTCCGCGCAGCAGCAGCGGCAGCATCGCCTCCCCTTCCTGCCCTCGCCTCGCACTGCAGCAGCCCGGCCACTTCCTCTTGCAAAACTGCTCGGGCCCGGCTCCTGGGGACCCCCGGCCCCGGCTTGGGGAGCCCAAAGGCGGTGCCACGGGGGGCTGGGGGCGGCTCCGTGCCCGCCACAGCATCCCCGGGAGCGGCCGTGGCATCACCTGAGGGAATCCAGGTGCTGGGGAAGGCAGGGGAGGATGCAGCTCAGACCCTCCCCGGGGTGCCAGGAGCCCCTGGCCATCAGGAGTGGGTGCCTCTCCGCCCCGCAGCTGATTTCAGAGCAGAAGGAGCAATTTCAGCACCCAGACTGAGGCAGCTTTGACTGCAGCCCATGAAAAAGCTGTTCAGCCCCTGGGTCCTGCTTTTACAGCAACCGTGACCTTCCTGCTTGGTGAAGATCACAGGGATTTGTGGGGCTGGGCAGGGGAAGGGCTCTGCTCCCCACAGGATTCCACAGGCAGGGACAGCTCCCACTGTCCCAGGCTGCTCCAAGCCCCGGTGTCCACCCTGGCCTTGGACACTCCCAGGGATCCAGGGGCAGCCACAGCTTCCCTTCTCCCAGGGGAGAATCTCTTCCCAATATCTCAACTCGCCCCTCCAGCCGCTCCTACAGGGCTCCAAGACCTTCCCCCAGCACCAAAACCTCTCCTCCTCCTCCTGACAGATTGCAGATGTTGCTCCAAACCCTTCCAGCTGTATCTGCTGAAGAACTCCAATTGCTCCAAGGCTTTGTGCCCACCACAGCAGCATCCCACGAATACAAACAGGGATGTGGCAACATCTGCATCTCAGGAAGAGGAAGGCAAGAATCCAAGTGCCTTATTTACAGAGGGAAAAAATAAGTTCTTATGGCAGCAGAGTGTTCCTGCAGCAGCACAGCCCCCTCTGCTCCACAGGGATAAATTTAGAGAAGAGGCTTAAATTGAGCATGTGCAACACCAGCAGAAAGTGAGGGCTGGGAGCATCAGCACTGGGGTCTTCTATGGAGCCTCAGCCCAAAAGTTTCCCAGTGGAACCAGGGTGCAGCTTCTGGATGTTCCATGGGATTCTCCAAGAATCCCTCATTTATTCCTTGCAGTCCACCCTGGGACATCAGCACCATAAAAAACACAACAGAGCCAGAAAACCCAAATAACTCTGTTTTGTTCAGCAGCAGCAGCTCTGTGTAATGGTTACCTGCACATCAGCCCCCCCAAAACCCCACTGCCCCCCGTGGCCTGCACCACTTCCCAGGTTCAGAGCACACAACCAGCCCTGCCAAACCCAGGGACCGACACCAGTGGAGGCTTTTGGCAGCTTCAGCAGATTCTGGGCGTCACCCTGGGAGGCTGAGCTGGGACCCAAATGTAAAACACTCCTAAATACTTAACTGGATCAAAGCCCAAATTATTAATGCCTGGTATGACATGGTAACAGTCCTTAAATAGGTGATATTAAAATAGTTATTTCTCTGGTGCTTCCACTTTGCTTAATTTTGATAATATGATTTAATGACTTCCAATTATGCCAGCTATTAATTTTTTCGTGTGTTTTCAGGCCTCTTCCCCTCCTGTCAGTGTATTCAGGCATCCTGTTAGTCTCCTATTGGAATATTAACATTATTTTCCCTCCATCCTCCTCCTTTCCAGCAGCAAAACCTGCCTGACCAACAGAAACCCCCCAGGAATGTGGTTGGGGGCTCGGATCAAGCAAACCTGGCACGGATTTTTCCCTGATTATCCATTATCCACAAGGAATAATGGAGCTTTACTGCAGCGATTTACCCTCATTAGCCCTCAAATCATCTCCCACACCCCCAGCAAGGCCACAGGAACCCAGGCAGGGCTTTGAGGATTCCGAGGTGCAATCCCCAGCTGGGCCTTTGGGAAGGGCTGATGGATTTCTGGCTGCTGCTGGAATTGGAGAGACACTTTTGTTTCCTTGGCACAGGATGCCTCCCCCTCCCCAGGGTGACACCAGGGCCGTGGCAGGGTGATGGATGGCCACAAAGCTCAGGCTCCCTGTTTGTTATTAGGCCCATCAATAACTCTGGCTGGGGTGATGGCCCTGAGGATGAAATGAGCCTTTCTCAAAGAGCTTTCTCTTCTCCAAGAGCCCAGCATCGCTGGGGGAAGCCCAGTGACATCCAAAGGAGGTGTAACCACACACAAATTTGGTTTCACACCTTTATACAAACACCTGAAGAACCCACTCTGAGCCCTTTTCATCCCATCCCACTTCAGATCCCTCCTGGTCATTTTATTCCCAGCAGCAGCTGCCCAGCATAGCACGGATGGAATCCAAACCCCACACACCACACAGAAACTCTATGTTTGATTTTGGAAATGCACAAAGTGTTCCCATCTCCAGTTCTGCACGAGGGCAGCAAGGTCCCCCACAAGGGGGGATACAAACAGGGAGAAAACACAGAACCACGGAGTCATCAGGGCTGGAAAAGACCTTGGACTGGATCCCACCACACCCACTAAGCCAGACCATGAAGTGCCACATCCACTCATTTTCTGAACACTTCGAGGCACGGGGACTCCGCTGCTTCCCTCTGGAGCTGTTCCAAACGTTTCCAAAAAGCACCCAGAGCCTGAAAAGGCTCCATCCACAGTTCCAAACGTTTCCAAAAAGCACCCAGAGCCTGAAAACGCTCCATCCCAGCCAAACCCACTGCAGGCAGGTCTCCCAGCCACACCTCGAGCAGCTCACATCTCACCCGGCGTGCCAAGAGCCTCCCTGTGCCACCCACGCAGGAGCCCCAGACACGGCAGGACCATGGCAGGGATTAATGCAAAGCTGAGCCTTCCGGAGTAATCCTGGGATTACTGCACATCCCAGCACAGACTGAGGAGTCTCGATGCCCCGGGACTGCTGGAACTCTCAAAGCAAGGCTGGCAGCCAGCGCTCCTTGCAAACCCATGCTGGTGCCCTGCGCAGTCCCAGCACCACCACAGCGTCCCCTCTGCCCATGTGGGGCCAGATTTTCACATTTTCACATTTAGGCGGCTCCAGCACGCGAGGAAAAGGCCTGAAATGGGTAATTTGGACCACAGAAATGCCAATTTCCAAATGCCAGTTGACTGCCAGACGCTGTGCTGGGACAATTCCCTCCCAGCACCGAGCCTCCCTTGCAGGCGCTGGGATTTGGGTGGGGTGGGGTCGATGTCCCCGCTCTGCTGGAGGTGACAGCCGTGTTTTAAACACGACAGAGCCTCACACGTCCCTTTACAGCAAGGGAAGGGCCACGTCCACATTCCCAACCTCCATCCCACAGGACCAACCCAGCCGGGCAGGGCACGGTGACACTCGCAGCCCTCCCTCCCTGCAAAGCCCTGGGGAGAGGAGCTGAGCTCTCTGCAGGACATTCAGGGGCTGTGCCCCCTCCCCTGGGACCCCCCCGGGCGTACCTGGCTGCAGGGTGACAGGAGGCTGCTCTCCGGGGACACCTGGCTCTGCCACCGGCGACAATCCAGCTGGATGAGGCTGCGGCACTCCTGGTGGCACGTGTACCTGCAGTCTGCAGGGACAGGAAGGGACAGCGTCAGGCAGCCCTGAGCTGCTGGGGGACACTGGGGATGGCAGCCACAGGGATTCCAGCACTGCCAGAACTGGAACACGTCCCTGTTCACACACCTGGCTGTTCTAACACACCTGTCCCTGCTCACACCCCTGTCCCTGCTCACACTCCTGTCCCTTCTAACACACACCTGTCCCTGTTCACACACCTGGCTGTTCTAACACGCCTGTCCCTGCTCACACTCCTGTCCCTTCTAACACACACCTGTCCCTGTTCACACACCTGGCTGTTCTAACACGCCTGTCCCTGCTCACACTCCTGTCCCTTCTAACACACACCTGTCCCTGTTCACACACCTGGCTGTTCTAACACGCCTGTCCCTGCTCACACTCCTGTCCCTTCTAACACACACCTGTCCCTGTTCACACACCTGGCTGTTCTAACACGCCTGTCCCTGCTCACACTCCTGTCCCTTCTAACACACACCTGTCCCTGTTCACACACCTGGCTGTTCTAACACGCCTGTCCCTGCTCACACTCCTGTCCCTTCTAACACACACCTGTCCCTGTTCACACACCTGGCTGTTCTAACACGCCTGTCCCTGCTCACACTCCTGTCCCTTCTAACACACACCTGTCCCTGTTCACACACCTGGCTGTTCTAACACGCCTGTCCCTGCTCACACTCCTGTCCCTTCTAACACACACCTGTCCCTGTTCACACACCTGGCTGTTCTAACACGCCTGTCCCTGCTCACACTCCTGTCCCTTCTAACACACACCTGTCCCTGTTCACACACCTGGCTGTTCTAACACGCCTGTCCCTGCTCACACTCCTGTCCCTTCTAACACACACCTGTCCCTGTTCACACACCTGGCTGTTCTAACACGCCTGTCCCTGCTCACACTCCTGTCCCTTCTAACACACACCTGTCCCTGCTCACACACCTGTCCCCATCCAGGCACGCTCCTGCAGGTGAGGAGAAACCCCAGAACGCCTCATCCAGGGTAAAAATTTCTCCCTCACCCTCTCCCCAGGGAAACCTCCGCTCCTGGGTGCAATGGAGCAGCACAAGCCACATTCCTGCAGCCTCACTGATACATAAAGGATGGAAAAATCCTCAAATCCCACCGAAGCATGGGGTACCCCACGCCAGCTCTGCTCCTGGGAGGTGTCACCTGCAGCAAAAGCTTGGCAAGGGTGGGGAAAGGATCCTTCACCTCCCACCACCAGGAAATATCTTTGTGCCGGACACACAGCAAACGATTTAAGGTCACTAATTACCACAGAGGGGTTTGGGTTGGAAGGGACATTAAGGATCATCCAGTTCCACCATCCCAGGGTGCTCCAGGTGCCTGACCTGGCCTTGGACACTTCCAGGGCTGGGGCAGCCACAGCTTCTCTGAGCCAAGGCTAAAGATGAAAGCTCTGAGA